GACAATCAACAGGACTAAAGGTGATAGATGTGATACAGGTGATGCTTGCCAATCATCTCAACCTCGTGAGACGGTAGATTGATTTCAGACTTGGAACATAAGGACTCTGACTTGATATATCGATAGGCTGTCATGATTCGTCACACATGCCAATTATGCATCTATAACCTTTCTGATGCTTAACTGAGTCAAAAGCATAGCGCATCGCTCCGGTATTAAATACACTTTATGCAACGTAAATATGATACTTACTAATTCGCACACTGTAGTGGAACTAAATCAAACATAACGTTTATTGCATAGAAGCGATTTGTTGATTTTTTGCAACGATAGTGCAAACGATACGGTAAACACCGAGCGCATCGTAATAATACGTCCTTTAGAATCACAACGCGTTAGTCCACGAAAAGGATAGTAGCGTGTTCGATCCACGACCCAGGCACCTGTGGTCCGTAGTTTTATAGTCTCAAATCTCAGAATCATCGTGGTTATAATCCACATCATATCCTGCCTAGAAAAAAGAATAGACAGTAAATAATAAGTACTAAAATATGTCCTTCAGTTACGGAAATAAGCAAACAGTTGTTAAAATAGGAATTCTCTTAAATAATTCCACTCATTTTTCTAAAATTCTGACCAAAAGCCACAATTATGACGCTTTCACGGATAGTACATTTTTTTCAAGAGCTTCTTATGAATGCTGAAATTGTTACGGAACAGTTCCGAAGGACAACTTGCAGTGGATGACTTAAATTCTAACAGTAGATTTTAGAAGGGCTGACTGATTTTTTAACTGAGATTCTGCTTTGCAGGAAAGGAAGGAACAGAAAAGCATTTTAATTCTGTCCGAGTTTCGAGCATGATTTTTCGGGAATACTGTCTAGTGATGTCTTCGAATTTCTATCAAGGAGGTTATCGTCTATCTCTATTGTTTTCGCTAAACAATATGTCGCTCAGATGCTTTTCAAACAATGTGCAACTCGATGTTCATCGTGCGAAGGGTTTAAATGGCTATTCTAGCATTTCTTGTTTAATTTTATTGTATCATGATTTATTTAAATATAAAAAACAGGCAAAAGGAATAATGGCTGTAAACTCTATGAAGCAAAATCGTTTATTCTTGCCTAAAAAAGGCATGATATTACTCAGCAGCACGTACAAGAGCCTCAGCATAGTACAACTGTCATGTAGGCTAGCGTCGTCGTAAATTATTCTACCGTAATTTAACCTTCAATCTGAAATCGTCGTAAAAAACACTCCTATGGTCGAAAGGCAAAAGTACGTGTATGGTTTTCCTCCATAGTTAAACAGTTGCAGTGGAAGATATAATCTATGGCATATTTTGTTAGAAAATTTACCACATCCCGAAGTAAATCAAATCCTAATCTGACTTTAACGTCGCAGTATCGCTGTAATATGACAACGTCTAATAAAGCGATAAATGAACAAAGCATCATCGAAAAAAGTGAAGCTGAAAAGCTATCTGCGTTTTCTAAGCTTTTCCGTCAACATCACCGAGCTCATAGGCTGGAGGGGCATTGCCGACTGACGACGACGATGGCAGTGGAGCTGGATGTGGCGCTGATTCAACAGCAGGTGTCGTTTCAGTCCGAAAGGCCAAAGAGCTCACGTACGTGTTGACGACGACATTATTGGATGGCATAACGATAGGTGGTTTCTCTTGTAGAATCACAATGAATGCGTAAATGACGCCTGGTAAGTAGAGGAACATTGACAGCAACCAAGTTGAGAAGCACTCATTGCCGCATCCACGATCGATCATCACCGCAATACACTGGAATCGATAATTCTTCATTTATGGACGAGATAATATAGATCTCTTACTGAGCGGATTCACATCAAGGTAGGACACTGTCGCCTTTGTGTCATTACTGCGCAGTAATTGATTACGGCATACGGCTTTTATAAAAAAGGGAAGGAAATAGACCGTGTTTATAAAAACCAAAGGCTTAAGAGCTTTTCATATCTCGGTTTCCGAAGAAATCTAGAGGTAAAGTGGCAAAAAAGTGGGGACTGCTTCATATTCTATAGAGCTCTTATGGCATAAATCGTAGAACAAGGCACGACTATCAAAGAATTCAAGAGAAAAGTATTGCAAAACAAGCAATACGCAGGCTAAGTTAGAAAAAACCTGTAGAGAACACCATTCCTTACTTTGTTTGGCAAATTTAAAAAATGAAATTATTACATCTACTACATTAATCATATTTGAGCGGTGTAATGTCGAATTTCTTTGGTAGGAGTCGAACTTAAGGCTTCTTGCGCCGCCTTTTTCAGGCAACATCACACTGAGCCACATACATATTAGTGATAACGAAAAATTAAGCAAAACTTACCGGGCAAAAAAGTGCGAGAACCAGCAAAAGGCATTTGCACATTACTCAGCTTGCCTAGAAAAGAACTCTTGTAAAGAACTTTCTAAGAATGGAGCGTAAACATTTTTTTTTCCAATAATAGCACTTAAAACTCTATTTCTATCATTCAGCTAAAACCCTTCTACATTACTGAAAAACTACAAGCTCTTAAAATAAAAGAAAAAATGCGAACGGGGTGAAGATCACTGTAAAGTTTCTTGAATAGTTACAAATGATGCCGAAGAAACGGTATGTTGCTCAGAGAAGGCCTGCTCTTTNATTTGCACATTACTCAGCTTGCCTAGAAAAGAACTCTTGTAAAGAACTTTCTAAGAATGGAGCGTAAACATTTTTTTTTTACCAATAATAGCACTTAAAACTCTATTTCTATCATTCAGCTAAAACCCTTCTACATTACTGGAAAGCTACAAGCTCTTAAAATAAAAGAAAAAATGCGAACGGGGTGAAAATCACTGTAAAGTTTCTTGAATAGTTACAAATGATGCCGAAGAAACGGTATGTTGCTCAGAGAAGGCCTGCTCTTTCGCTCCACCCATTTTCGAAGAGATGTTAGCGTCGCAAAAAGCTAACGGACGTTTTGTTTATTCGTCTACGTTCTTAGTTAGAACTATAGATGCAATAGCTGCAAGTAATAGTTTTCAGTGTTTGGTCACAGAGTTAAATAAGATCTAAAAAACATAGATAAAAATGTCCCAAATTTTAGGGTTCTATTCAGAAATGCTTTACGGTACTTTCGTCTACAGTGATAACCTAAAATTACGGTACTTTTGTTTCCATGAAGGTGCTTCATGCTTTGAATAGTTTCATCCCATTTAAAACAATAAGTTCTATCATAATTTTTAACCTCTACACAAATTAACAGCCAATAAATGGTCACCGAACGGGAGTGAAACATAATGAAGGGTGAGCAAGATCGATTGACATGAGTCAACAGCGTCTTCGTTGAGAGCAATGGAGCTTATAGATTTTATTTCCTAAAATCAAACTTCAATGGTAGAGAAATTATATTGTGCTCAAATTTAAGCCTTTTACGTCACTAAGAAGAAGAATGTGATTAAGGCAACCCACAGAATAGTTACAGAACTCTCGCCTACCGTGAGAACCTTCTGAGCGGTAAGTAGACCAAGAAGGCAAGTAGTCAAGATTTGTCAAGAAGAATAAAAATCTGCACACTGACTTAATGAGTTAAGAAAATGTAAAGACCGTCATTAGTCATTATATCCACTAAATATATATTATATCGCTCTAGGGTGCCCGATGGAAAAATGCATGAGGTATCCATTAAAGGACTGGTTGGCACCGAATGCTTGAACGATTAACCTTTGTTTAATTTCATTTCCCGTCACTGTCTTGCTTTATTACTTAATATCCTTGCTAAGATCAAGACAGGGACATCTTTTTGAGGCCATGAAATTCTAAGTAGAGACCCACTTAATTACTATTAACTGAGCCAGTGAACTGAAAACAATTCAGCACCTAATTTTCACCACATAGGCGGAAGGTAGTTGCAGGAACAGAAAAGCGTGGATAAGAATCGCTGGAACCCATACTAGGAAAAACTGAGAGCTCTTCGTGTTAAAAACTAAGATATTTAAGCAGATTTGTATGAATTGTTTAGTGATATTCCTTCTATTCTTCTTTGTTCAGCTAATTTGTGAAGAAGCTTAATTGTTCGCAACAATAGATGATAAGTTCTCCATTACTAGAGTAAAGAAGGGGTTCAGAACCTTGAAGACCTGCATAACATATTTTGCTTTAATGTATTAAAAGCAGTACGGAAGAATTTTACAAAATATTCTTTCAACTTCAGTTCTATGTGGCATTAAATTTCTCAACACAGATAACACCAATTCTACAGTAAAAGTAGGAGATTGACAAGCTGACGATAATCGTATCAGACGCAGATTACCATTGCTAAAAATAATGTTTCAACTTTCGGTAACAACTCAGAGCTTTAGTAGAAACGCTATGATATACCCTTTAATAATAGCATTCTCACTGTAGAATGTGGGAAATGAGTAAGAAAGGAAATTCGACAACAGCGCTGTAAAAGCGGTCATTGTAAAAATAGGCATAGACATATGCTTATAACATTCGTATATGTATATATACTATTCATATATGCTTATGGGGCAGACTTTGGCCAGGCTGACCTCGGGACACCAGGAAACCATAATGGCTTAACCATCAAATCTCCGAAAAATGGTGTTTTTGCTGGCGCCCGCACAACTAGCAGAGAACGGGCCGTTCAAGTATAAGTAAGTAAGTATGCTTATAATATATAATATATGTACACAAAATCGATTTTGGCAATTACACCGTCTTCGCTTTGCTGGAAACGTCGTTCATACAAAACTAAACATTTTCCAGGCAGAACAAATGCTTGCCGACGTTAACAAATTCTGTGGAAAGAATGGTCTTCGACTAAATCTCGCAAAAAACGATGTTCATGAGGAAAGGATTGGCTTCGTATGCCCCATTCACGCTCAACGGAACGAATATCTTTGAATGCTCCGGTTACGTCTATCTATATCGGGAAACCAACATGATCAAGGATTTAGCTTCAGAGTTGAACATAAGAAGCCAAGCGGCATGTAAATAGAATCAAAGTGCTTTTCATAGGTTCCAAAAATTAGTTTAATTTCCTTAAATAAAAAAAATTTGTGTGGAGATAGAACTGTAGATTCTAAAAGCATTTGCTTAAATTGTGAAATATAGTATGATCTGGAGTTAATTGTCTCATAGTTAAAAGCTGACAATTCATCAGTTGTCGTATGACTCCACTTGTAGTCATTTCTTCATTTATAGGTAATTGTTTTCTAGGAATGTGAAGTGAACAAAATTATGAGATGGAATGCAACAGTATGAGCAGATGTTGCGATCGATGGCAGTTTTTGTTAAGAAAAAGAATGGCATTTCGCTCCTGTGATGCAATGGCGTTCTTCAAATGTTAAAGAATCTTAGAAGGCTCTCCTGCTGCTTACTAATCATCAATAGATACGAGTTTAGTATTCGATGTCTTAGCCAAAAATTTAAAAAATGTTTTTTCACTGATAAGC